TGTCTGGCCCACATAGTATTTGTTACAATTTTTGCAATGGATTTTGTAAATCACACTACTTGTTTCTTCTTTACCAAGCCGGTCCTTACCATTGAAGAGCTTGTCTCTGATAGTTTCTGTCGGCTTGTGAGCAACTCTGATTCCGAAAGGTAATAGCAGTCTCACCGCCATCTCAGAGACGCCGTTGATGTATGGTAGAGTGATTGTCCTTTTATCCGTTTTTGATGTTTGTTCTTGTGTCGGTCGTTTTATTGGTGTTAAACAAGGTAGAATGAAATTCCTAGGATACCCATTCCGTGTAAACATTTCGAGGCTTGGTACTCGGGGAAGAACTCAATCAACAGACACTTAGATCTAGATACTGCCTATGAAGCACTGAGGGTCAAAACAATACTCCGCCCCAGATCAACAGGACAAAGGAACCTCATTGAGGCGGACTCTAGCCAACAGTACGCAAAAGCGGACTACACGGTCAGCTCACGTGGACCAATCATCATCATCATACACGTTAGCTAGAGGTGGGGAACGCCTCAGCTACTGTGCCGCAATACACAGAAAAAAGGAGAAAAAAGCAACTGGTGCAAACCAGCTGAGCTACCGGTAATGGATGGGCATCGTTCCTTTAAGCTACCAGTCGGCTACTGTGCATAAAAAAATACTATGCGAAATTATATAAAGCTAAATAATGAGATCGTGGTTGGAGGGGGAGGCTAAGAGGGATGGGGTGGGACAAAGAAACTCACAGCACGAACGCCATTGAGGTCGGCTCCTAGCCATATCAGCAAGTGTGTCCAACCAAACGTGTTCATCGTCTTTCGGACCCCAACCAGGGAGCCGAGACGATCCAACCCAGGCCAGCTCCGAAGTGAGGGCCTTCATTCCTCTCGACCAAGTCATCGCTTGGCCACCCCTCCTCTTCTTCCATCCACACCCCGGCGCGCAAACAACGCACGTCGCGGGAGTCGGTGGGCTGGCATGCGTAACACGTGGCCGAGCCATCGGAGCCTGGTGCGTGAAATAACGGCGCCGAGCGGTTCATTTCCATTTCCTGTGCCGTAAACAAGGCGTCGAACACGCTCGTTGCTCACGCGGTGTTCCCACCATATGTGAGCAAAATTACGAAGTCACCGGTGGTCGAACGTAACTAGCCTCTTCAGGTCCGCTGCTTTAAGCAGCTAGGTTTCACAACCGTACAGTAGGGTCGAAAGTACTGCTGCATTGTACACTCTACCCTTCAGGGCAAGAGTGATGTCGCGCCGGCGCCATAAGTGGCGAAGGTTAGCAAAAGCGCCCCGAGCTTTTGCTATACGGTCCGTGATCTCATCTTCAATCCCACGGGCGCTGATACAACTTCCCAGGTAGTCGAATTTTTGAACGACTTCTAGCTGATCCCCACCAACGGTCAGCGTAGAAGGCGGTCCAGACCAATCTTGGAGGAACGCTTTGCACTTCGAGGGTGCGAAGCAAAGCCCGAAGTGACGGACAGCTAGTGCTAATCTGTCCAGTGCCGCTTGACACGTTTGTGAGCTGTCACAGATTAGGGAAACGTGGACCAATCGACTCCTGACGTTCGAATCAAATTATCAATAATCCCTTGGATCTGTAAGTGGCCCGCATAACTCGTACCGATGATGTCGTCTAGCCTGACGATGAAACGTTTGCGGCCAAATCAGCCAGCTCAGAGAGGTTGATTAGTTGGGGCAACCGAATCGTCCTCGGACCTGCGATGCAAATGGCATGACTACCACTGTCCATCGTGTGGGATGTCGGTAAAATGTTCAAGCTCAGAAGTAAAGTACGCAATAAAAACAACACTGTCCGTTTATACTATTTCAATGTCTCAGCTTCGTATGCAAACTTGGTTCCGTATGTAATGATGACACAAGCACCGAAGCGCGATGGATTCAGTCGTTGCTACTAGAATCACAGTCAAAGAAAAATTGATAAAATTAAGTATCGTAGCTTCCTAAAAGATTATCGAGATAACCTAAAGTCATGGCTCAGCTGAACACTTCCCTCGTCACAATCGGGCACAGTAAGAAAAGAAGACAGAACGCAAATAGTACACAAAGAAAACGGAATCAAGAAATGCTACAGGTTGATCGGGATGGAATGAAGATTAACCCCTGGACGCAAGAGGCCGGATCCAGGAACGACACTTGTGCGCAATGTCTAGCCATTGGTGTGGACCATTCCGAGACGGTACACACCAGGTTGACCAAGTCTCTCAGTCAATCTCTTCAAGTTTTTGTGCCACCTCATCGGTTGGTGACCTCGCACTTTAGCCCAACTTAGTGACGCGTACAATGCGCACATCAAGAAAACCGGTCAGCGGGCATACGGAAGACATAACCTAGTCAACGTAAGCGGTTCAGGTTCAACAGACATTCCAGTGAGTCAGCAGAGGATTTCTTACCAAAAAGCCACTAGCGGACGTCAGCATTGATCACCCGGTGTTCACACCAGATGTGATCGATACTCCGCAACCACCGGTGATGAAACATAACCAAAAGTGTAACCTCATCACTGCGAACTGGCCACATCTATGATCTAGACAGTTACACCAGCCCTATCGCAGCGTTATACACTCGACTTTCCACTGATGTGCCGATATATTTTTCCATCTCCACAGATCGCTGTCACCAGAAAGCCGCACGGGCCTTGCTGATACACGAAGTAATCTCAGTGTTGCGACCACCAGAGCTGACACAGCTTCTAAAAATGAACCCATTCACCACTTCCAATAGCTGCTCCGTGATGGCCCAGTCCAGCAGTAATACTTCGCATTTTGAAGGTACAAGAGACGGGAAAAAAGACATCAACAGTACGCCGGTGCGAAGTACCGACGCTTCGCTGCCGCGCGACCACCACCAGTCGCGCGTGGACTAACGATACTGAGAGAATCGCCTGGACTCTGTGCAGGCTCGAACCCGCGCCCTCGGATTACAAGGCAGACTTGTGATTCTTAAGGCTACGAGCCAGATGAAATCTCGCTAGTTCTGCAGATGGTTGAGAACTTGGAAAGCCACGGGAGCTTTACTAGCACACCCTATGATCATCACTGTAACATGACCAGCAGAAAGGGCATAGAGGCTTAAATAAATAAACGGATCAACCTTTTCGAGTGACTCTGGGGTGAAGAAAAGAACTAGTACGGTATCAATATAATCACGCAACTGCCTATTGAAATCATGGGTCACATTGTGCGTGTCGAAGTGTGTAACGTTCTGTATCAGTTTACAAAGAGATGACCGCGAATAAGCTGGATCCGATGCAGAGCGTTACACCATCCATGCACTTTAAATTTTGTCAGTCGGTTACCTGGCTAAAACAATACGATAGAAGTATATACAGCAAAAGATTCGACAAAACGGTTTAATAAAACGAAATGGGTGGGTTGCCTATTACGCAGAACATTTCGTAACCCCAGCAGTCGCGGTAACGATGGCGGAGTACAAAGAAGTTCTCGGCTGTAGATTTCGGTAAAGGATATGGCTAGATATATGTGAAACTAACAAAACGAAATGTGGCCTCCGAGTTAAGACTACGATGGTAGATCAAGTGCGCACATTACATCTACCAGGGAGGCTGTGAAGCGTCCGTGCATTATGCAGATGGGCGGAAGACAGCCTAGCTCACACACCAACTGCCGCGTTATGAAGCCTGTCGACCACGATCATTAATTATACAGCGTGCTGATCACATTCTGGATACTGATGGCACAGGTTCCCGGTACATGCGTACGACCGAGTTGCATAAGACTCATCGCCCTGGGCTCGAACGGACCACATCGCCATCACCTAGAGATGGCGCAAGTCAAAATCACTGGTCGATCTAGAGCACCTGGCTCGAGCTTGACAATGCTCTGGTAGGTACTGAAACAACGTTTACTGTTCCCGTTTCGTCAAAATTTGTAAATGCATGGGTGGTTGCTCGTCGATTGTTATGGCATTCTGCGAAGCAGTAATATCAACTTTGTCGACCGGTGGCCGAGTGGTCTGCGCGCCTGATTTGCAACCATAAGGTCACCGGTTCCAATCCGCGTAAGGGTGGGCCTCCTCGCGGTATACTCAGCTCGCGCGCGACTGGTGGTGGTCTCGCGGCAGCAAAGCGCTATTACGGCGTACAGTTGACACATTATTTATTTTAATATCAACGTAAGCTGTCATTGGTAAACGACGGGGACGAGCGGAAGGTGGATTAAAATGACTTTCAATGAACCGCGCAAAAGCACTAGAGACCGATGTCCGCCATAACTGAGGAATCTAATCAGCGGACGGATCTCGCAAAATTCGACGCGCATGATCAAAGTGCCGAAGCTGGTTCTGTTAGGAATCCAGTTTCTAGAGTCAGCCGACGTCATCTGACTAAGAGTTACAAAAAAGACCGGGGAGTAGTGGTGGATCGCAGGAGTCCTAGTCATTGGAAAAACCAGAGTACTGCTCCAACGCCGAGGAAAATGAACAAATGGTCCACTTTCAGCGACGTCGAGTATTGTAATGAATTCGCGCCGATCAAGTGTGTCAGGGTTGTTGGCTAGGTTACCTGAATCCACCTGGGATACTGATATAGAGCAGAGACGACAAAGACCAGCGCAGCTGAAATAGAACAGTGCGTTTAACCCGAACGTGGTGAGTCACTGGCGACAGATTAGACTATGTTGTTGAAGGCAATTTCAATCTCTGACGTGCAGTCGTCAGCTGACACTCATTCCTGCAACATACTAAGGTGAGCAGTAAGTCGGTGCCTCTCTACCACACAACCGCCAATAATTGCGTGTGGGTTGGGATATTGTAAGGTCTCCCTCATCCAAGCAATCTCTAACCAATGATCCATGAACTAAATGTTTGGAAGACCAATGTTACGGACAACGTCGTAAGCAAGGTGCGTTAGACTTGTAGCATGACGTCTAAAACTGCAGGACGGTAATAAAGATTTCGGTTTCAGAAGAAACAAATGATGCATTTTGTACATGAGCAAAGTAAAATTAGTAAATTTACTTGTGTTGGGTGCGGTCGATCGAGCCTGCCCTGAGTTCAGTACGTCCTAGAGCGGTTGAACGAGAGAAGACTTCGGTAACACGGATGACTTCACCATCAACTTGCCCGCCATTCATAAAGTTGACAGCGTCAGCGGCAGACTTGGGGTCGTCATATGTCACGTAAGCATAGCTACGGCTAAACTCAGGGTGAAGTCGGTCAGGCGGCATATCCACACTCTGTACCACACCCCAAACGGAAAAAATTTCCGCCACGTGAGCCTAAAAGGAAAATATAAGGAGTCTAATAGTATAAAGTTAGAAGCCATCTGAATTGGAACTCCTGTAAAGTAAACCTATAGGTGAATGGAGCATTTAATGATTATCAACAACAGCAATATATCAGACCTTTGAACTGATACTTCACACACGTACAACCACAACGACCTGCGGAACCAGGAGTGAAAATGGGGAGAGAAGCATCTACCGTAATACCTTAATGACGTAAGCACCTTGTCAATAACATACCATCACAAGCAACTGACTATCGTGCAAAGATAAAGCGGCATAGGTGAGACAGCTTCCTTGCGGCTTTCACTGTCCCGCGTCATAATCAGCCATTACTCTGCAGATAACTCAGCACCAAACACACTTTAAACAGTAAGTTCGAGTAAGAAACGACAGCAGACACGCCACTGGTTCCGAATGCAAGCAACGTCCTGTAACGCCTCAAGCCAAGCAAAAGCCGGGTCACGTGGAGTCCAATTTTGAGGGCAAGACGGACCGAGGGCACCTACTTTTGCAATTAGTGACTTCATTTCACACTGCTCACCTCGAGCTTAGCAGACACCACATTCAGTAAACAAAACATGACCCTTCTCGGCAAGCGGTGACCGGGCATACGTAGCCCGTGAGAAGCCAACGCAACCTATTCAGTGCTATCCGTTGTTTTAAGGAAATTGCCGAGCAATCGCATACGCACATCACCATCGCGGACATGTTAGTGCCATCCGACACCGGCAAGCGATGATCAAAGAGTTGAAGGGCCTCATATCGAGGAGGCAAAGTCTCACTTCCATAGAGTAGGATGGCCTTCATTGTGGGCTTGTAAACACGGCCTTTCAGGCGCCAAAGATGTCGCATATTCAAGAAGACTGTTCTGGCATTTGCGATACTTCAGTTGCTATGCACCTATTGTTGCTGATGTAGCTGCCAAGGTAAGTGAATCATCCAACTACCTGGAGTTCCTCGCTATCAATGATCAAGGGATTCTCAAGTGACTGGTCGTCCTGCAACAACACTTTGCAATTTGAAGGTGCGAAGCGTATGCCAAATGATGGGACCACTAGATAGGTTATCCATTGTTGACTGGGTCCCCAGATCTTTAAACAGTAAGACAATGTCGTCCGTATCAGGAGTTTCCACCAGACAGCATATCCAACGCCTGTATCGTGAGGTTCCGCAACAGAACACTCTAGGACGAAGTTGTAAGAAGTTAAGGAAATTACAATATCCTGATGGGCGTCAATTGTTGTTGGAAAAGTATCCGATAAGTCAGTGTAGACCGTGATGTAGCTTGTGGTGTTCGAGTACAGCGCACGTTAAATGTCCACATATTTCACGGGAACACCTTTCCTGCCTGCTATTCCCTAATCCGCGATTCCCGTTCTGCAATGAGGTACGTACCAGAATCGAAACCACTAATCTCGTCACCACTGACGTGAGATTAATACCCCTGTGGTTATCACAGCTGGTGCGACTGACCTTCTTGTATATTACCGCTATGATCGATTCACTCCATTTAGCTGGGATGGTCTCTTCCTTCCAGACGTGTTCGAACAGGCAGGTCAGTGTTAGGCAGAGAACTTCACCACCATACTTAGATAGCGCGGGTGCGAAGGAATCCGTGCCAGTAGTTAGAAAACGATTAAGAGCTATGATCACAATTCGGACCTCAGCATCCCATGGAACCTCTAAAGCAATTGGGCATGGCTCAGCCTTCACCATATACACATACTTGTGCATAAATATCCCCTGCAATAACAACAACGGCATCTGAGTTAGTAACACTTCGAAACAGCGTGTACAGTACGTGGTAAAGTTTTTTTATCAGCACCAAAACTGTAACCGATGGGTGCATAAGGCGCAGCCACAAACAAACAGTGTCTAGTACGGCATCGCGAATCGACCTTAAGTGATGTCGTCAGACGGACTGCTCAGGGGAATCCAATCAACCAAAGATGACTCCGATCTGGAGCTGAGTGTGATGACCACCCCAAACTGACAGGTGATTGCCGCACCAGCGTCTCTTGATGCGTTTAACCAGTAGCGAGGGGACAAACAGGGTGCAGTTAGTTCAATAACCCCTTGAGGGCCGTTGATCCTAGGTTCGGACACACAACACACGTGAATACCAAGTGTGCCAAAGTGCGCGCGTACGACTGCAGCCTGTTGACCGATTTGCGTTAAAGTGCGAACGTCGAACGCCGCTATGGAATTGTGACTGTGTGGACTTATAAGGGGTGGTTGTCTGATCAGGCACCCGGGAGAACCACCCAGCACAACCCAATGGGCAGAAGAGGTACGCAACTTGTCACACCACGTTATGTCATGTCTCGTGATAGAAGGAAGCGATATCCAGCATGCAAGCAGTGAAAGAGGATTGCACAGACATCGTTAGCTTTCACATGTAACAAGTGCATTATGTAGTCTTACTGCAAAAAAACAAAGAGCTCTAAAGTGAGAAGATCGTAGTAGAATGACAGAAGTTCCCATTAGCTCATAAAGGATGGTCTGCACGGCACCAGAAGTAATTAGCAAAGTCGGTGGTCGGTTTCCACCCTGGCAGGCTAAGGAACAGACAACGAATAAGTTGCTCAGCATACGGGAGTGTATACTACTCATGGCACGCTGCTGGACGAAGGGCAGTGGGTGGTCATGAAAGGATAGAGAGAGTGCTGCATGTTGTTGCGGACATAAAGAGACAGAATGTCAGAAGAGATAATTGAATTGCAAAGTGGCACAGTTTCATCCTTAAACCGGCTGACGAAATACAATGAGTAACATGGGGAAAAGGTGCGAAGGAAATGAGGCAGAGAGGACAAACGGCGGTGCGATTGCAAGTCTGGGACACTCCCACTGCCCACTAACCAAGTGAGGGAACTTATTTCGCGGTTCAGCTTACAGCCGAATGATGAGTAGTCCGACACAAAAGTTAGTGGTGTAATTAGATATTTACTGATTACCAATGAGTGGGGCATTTGACTGGGAACCAAACACGGTGTTTATTTAATGTTCTGAAACAAGATTCAAAAGACAACCTTCAACTGATAACGGTTGTATAGAGAACAAAATTCAAAGCCGAGAGAAAGTTGATGAGTTATGTGACAACAAATAATGTCTAAAGAGCTATCATGACGTTCAGTATAATGAGGGCCCTTTGTTTGAAGGCCAGTGAATCAGCCACAGTGGTATGCCATGACTGTCAAAGACTCCAGGCCGTGAGGCTCCTCAGACTGGTCAGGTGATGATAGTGTGAAAAGCGCAAGTGAACTAACGGATAAAGGATGCCAGCAGTTCAGCAGCAAAAATGTACTGCTGCTTCAACGTCACACAACCGCAAGCGGCTGCACGCGGTGGAATAATGCAGGAGCGGAGACTCGAACATGAGACGCAGAGTCTGCGAGTTAGACACTTCACGCCACCATATCATGGATCCTAATAAAAAATAACAGAATGACTGAATCAGGTTGGTGTTGATAGCCTCTCTGGACGAAGATCAAAAAAATGACATCAGTGATCAGTTAGATGAAACCACTGAATTCCCTGAGTTCAATACGCTAAATTTATTAGTCTCATTTGTTCTCAACTGCTAGTGAAGTTTTTAAGTCTAGCTGTCAAAATAGCGACGAGAGATACACCGACTCGATCAATCGAGCCTGTGATTGCGAATGGACCGAAGCGGCGCAAATGTATGCACTGAATATGCGATGACACGGTGACATGTCCATAGGTGTGTGATGGCACTGATGCCTGCCCAGGGTACGTGTGGAACAAGGAGTAGGGAGCCTGCTTCCACAGAACGAGCGGGAGGATACAAGACTGATTCACTGGACACTGTTCACATTCAGTAATCGGTAGTAAAAATAAAATAACCGGTAGTACTCCAATTTGGAAACGAAGGAAACCTAAGGGACCAGAGAATTCAAAATATTTCATGCGTATTAGACTTGGTTGCAAAATGAGGATGGTTAGTAAGAGTGCTTCACCTTCGTAACATTTCGCGTAAGCTTTTCCACCAAAACGCGAGTGAACGCTGGAATCTCAGCGGATTGTTTGCCTTTTTCCTTCTTATCTTTAGCCACTTCAATATCCATGGATTTAGCAGGCTTTGTAGTAGTCTTCACAGACGGTTGCGATTTTTGTGAGGGTGCATTTTTATCGTCTACGGAATTTGCCACATCGAGTGGGGGAGCAGCCGTGGACGACGCTAGCGATTCGCTGACAATTGCTAAAGAGCTGGTATTTTTCTGCTTGGGAGCAGCTTCGCCGTGAAGTACCTCTTTGGACTCCGAGGATTCAGAAGGTTTAACAGCCAGCTTTTTTGAATCTTCTTGTGGACGGCGAACGTCTGTAGATTTGTTAGAAGGGAGAGTGGTGGGGTCCAGCTTGTTAGACTTGCTAGGTCTGTGTCGAGAAGAAGACTTTGAATCTGAGAAGAGTAGCAAAAGAGTGAAAACGTTTAAGTGTGCCTCTAGCGACTTCGAATAAACGAGGATGAAAAATTAATGAGCGAAGCATTGTGATAGTGTTGAAGTTGTGGTATTACGAATTAAACTGTTTGGCCGCGTAAGATGTGGACATGGTATTGTCTCACGGTTGTGTAATTGCGAGTGCATGGTGACCGAACAGGTTAAGAGCCGTATACAAAAACTGGGTTCTGATTAGTTCCATATTCTCAAGCAACTTTCTCAGAGGTGTGATAGATGAATCCTTAGACTGAAAGCTTCAAACTGTGAATATTAGTTTAGATTAGAAATCAACTATCAACATGGAAGGCCGATGGATTGCGTCGTGCCCGTTAGTGTCATTCTCCCAGACTGGGTCGATTGTCATGCAGTTCTAGATGTACCTACGGACACCGTAGTCATATCGGTGGTACTAATTACAAATGCCGGCAATAGTAGCGATAGTAGTACTACATTTTCATCCGTGAAAAGCCTGAGTCAATTGCTGTTAATTTCATTGAAATTGTGTCATACCATAAGCAATGGAATACTTGAGTTTATTGGGAAATGTTTGACATTTTTGGCCGAACGACTGACATTGTCATTTGGGTCGTCGCATGCAGCCGGCCTTTTAATAAGATTTATGAGGGATATGCAAAAGTAATGCTACATTGAACGCGGCCGCATCGCCGTACGAATTACTAAAAGTAGGCATAGCGCTGGCTGGTCAGTCAATCTTACAAGTTGCCCTGACAGCAAAACACGAAGTCCACCGATAAGTGTCGGCAATTTGCGATTGTTATCGGTAAATTTATTGATTCTAGAGCTACCATGCGACGGAGTGAACATACAGATATAGCTAAAAAAGGTCGGTTGAGCTCTGACGCAAATAGACAGCCCGTTCCACGGCTTCTGTCCCACTGTCCAACTGCTTGATGAAACCACATGATAGCGAGAGGGAACATGACCCATGTTAGCGAATGCTGGTGCGATTAGGTAGCTCAACACCGGAAACGTACATACATCTACTAGTACATTGTAATATAGAACACACTCTAGCTGCATATTCCGGTGACTGGCTGGCTGTCTTGTTGAACTATCTCCTCGAAGAGGCATCTATGTGGTTTGGAATTATCCTATTCCAGTGACTTGTTCAGTGGCAGTGTTTCTGGACATGGTGGCTTTTCATCTGGCAAGCGCTCTCCCGATAAAAACGCACAAATGTCTAGTTTACAACATCGTGATGTGGCACATGTGATCCGTCATTGACCAGTAACTGCTACTTGGTTCGCTTGTGTGCGGCATTGTACTACAGTTGATATATTTGAGAGTACTAGGCACCTGTTTGGTAGCTCACCAAATCAGTCACCGGCAAGCAATCAGTGCGATTCCATGAATTCCCTATGTGGTGTTGCGGGCACGCTATTCAGCCAAAGTCCAGGGTTGGAGTCCTCATACTTCAGCTCGGGAAACTGGCTACATAACCACTGTTGAGAATATCTGTAGCTCCGAGTGCGAACGAGAGGGTTGTATCCTTCTCCGAACTGGGCATTTTTTGTTTCGTTGCCATGCTAGGCAATGTCCTCAGTGCGGCTTTCAAGACTGGATTCGCAGTCTCGTAAGCCACTGACATATCCAAGTCACTGTTGATCGTTTCCAGCCTTGAATGTCATTCGCAAGTGCATCAGTCAAGTAACCGCGTCTTCAGCTTGTCAATCTGATATTGCTGACTTAATCTGCAGAGCTTCGCAGACACCCTCTAGCTCCAGATGCTTGTTGACTGAGTTCTGGTCTGAATACCAGGGCTCGATGAACTCACGCGCCCTGCAACTCCTTACTCTTCCAAATATGTTGACGTTCTCTATATCGGGCTGATGATACTCGGCATCCATAGGTACTGACATTAGCGATTTCGCATCATGATGGCGGTTGGCTGGACTATCTTCGTGCAGTGTTGTGCGGTTTCCTCCTTGACTGGTCCACATAGTACTTGTCATAATTTTGTAGGAACTTCTATCAAACACACCTGATGTTTCCTCTTTACTCAGTTGGTCCTGTGAGAAAGTTGCTCAGAATAGTTTCCGTTGTTTCATGTGTAATGTGCATTAAATGCTTCGATGTCATCTCAGAAATTCCATGGATGTAAGGTAGGATAATCCTTTTCGTTTTCGTTGCACTTGTGGATATGAGTCCTGGTTGACTCATCGACATCAAGCAGCAGAGAATAAAACTTCTAGAGTAAGAATTCCGTTGAAACATGCTAAATAGGTGTTCATCCTCCGTTTTCCTCAGTTGCAGCGTGCTACAGTGTGTTTGGGTCCATTTGAAAGGTGTCGGCACGCAACTGCGCTTGTAAATGACCGGATAATTACCGTGATGGTTCAAAATCTGATTGGTGTGCGCCGCTTTCCGATAAACTTGTTTCTATGGACCCAGAAGCATGTCTTGTCACGAGCACGTCTAAAAATGGCAACCGGTCAGTGTTCTCACTCTCTTTGACGAAATGTATGCCGGGAGAAAATATTATCGATTGGCTGTGTTTTCTGTCGTCTGTAGCGTTGGACGATGAAAAAAGTACCGCCCACTTAACGTACCTAAAATCTGGGCTCCATCACCAATAGTGCGTGCATCGCTGCCTCGGCTGCCAGTTCAGAGATTGGCGTACCAACTGTTGTGCCCGGTATCTTTTTGTATATTTGGACGTTGAAAGTGAAATGCGTGGTGAGACAGAAATAAAACAACTCCATCATTTGTGTGACTTCAATTCTGCTACTTGTATTTGACGCCCCGAGTTGTTCAAGTAGAGCCATCATTGTTTGCCTTCTCAACTTCATGTCAATTGATGGGAACAAGGATGAAATATCAAAGGTAACCATTATCACGTCTTCCAACAGTTATTGCGTCGAGTTTTTCAGGAAGTTGTTCCGCTGATTGAATTGAATGCCCTAAGTCTGCGGTTAGGTGATTCAGCCACTTCCAGATTTTAGATAGCTTTTACTTGTATCGGGTAATGACACTACAGGGCGAAGCGGTACCCATGTTTGTATACTTAGAGTAGGCAGTAGAACCGTGGTGATACTGAATTCTCGGGTTTCATCTTGGTGCATGCTAACTTCGTGAGTTGTCACATTTGTTCCAGTTTTTGAAGAGTTTTGTTGATCTTGCTTCCCATACGTTTTGTAGGGTCTTCACTTATCGACCGGTAGGTGTTTACATCCCCGAACTGTTACTGTGCTTTCTTAAGGTAGTCAGTTGTGTCAATTATGACTAAGACGTCCTTTGTCGACCGGTAAGATAACAATAGTTTTGTATTTGCTGAGGTTTGTCAATACCTTTTTGATGTGCCCTCCACTCCTAAGTCATGGCCATAAGCCAGCTTCTCTCAATGTTCTATTGCTTTTCGATCGAAGATCTCACGAATCGACATCCATAAGAGCCGACCAGTAGCTTTCCCTCGGCCTCGATCCCAAATCTGTCTGTCATGACTCAATGCACGGATACCTATACAGATTTCGCAACAAGCTAGTCTGGTGTGTGCCCCGGAGTCCCTTGTCATCGATGGTTATTGTTTTCGGAAACCCGGGTGTAGGATCACAGCACGGCGCTCTAGTTAAAGTCCCTCACACAAGGATCTATGTACCACATGTGTTTGTTCCGAAACGCAGAAGTCACAGCAGGTTTGGTTGATGCTGGTCTAGTGGTCAGCTAAACTGAACTCAAAATGCTGAAGTGCTTCCTGATTAACGGCCAAGTGTGCACAGCAAGGCTCCGGACCTCACGCAGAAGCGACAAATTGCGAGGAGGAATGCAGCCTGTTCATCGTCTTCGCAGATACTCTAGATGACTGTAGCTGTGGCTCGATGTAGGACAACCTTTATTGTGAATTTTATCAGATCTAGAGTAAAGTTTAGAAATCGAATGTCGCTACCCCAGTAGGGTCGGTCGCCCGTTGTCATCTTGGCGGTTGTCATAAGCTAGATGAGTACCGTCTAGGTAACGGATACAGACTTGCCACATTATGTGAAGACAATCATTTTGCTCTCGAGCAACAATAGGAGGAGTCGATTGTCGGGTTTTTGAGTACCCGCCGTGTGTCTTGGATTGTGATACGCAATCTCAGTTGTCTAGTGATTATGATGATAGCCGCCAACCAATGTGTCGAGTTCCACCCCTAATTCAGGATATCATCACCCGATGAATCCAAACAAGGACGAAAACGTCGGTGGTGGAGTGCAGGGGTGAGAGAGAGCAACACGGAAACTTTCCACCTTGGTCGGATGCGGTCCCACTGATCGGAATGACACGGACTTACTTCGAAGTCAACCGAAGCCACGATTGAGAGTTCGTGTCGCAATTCAAAGTATAATCCAATGCTAACCGCTGTTTCAAGCACTGCTCACGGAGTTCAAGTGTCTAGTGAGTATGGTGATAGCCGCCAACTACTATGTGCCGAGTTCCACTCGCAATGCAGGCTATCTCTACTCATGAGTCCAACCAAGGACGAAACGCGTTGTGGAGTGCAGGAACGGAAAAGGGCAACACTGAAACCCTCCAATACGAGGAGTTCTAAAACCTGGCACCATCACGCAACAACGCAAGCGATTTCAAGTGGGTCATATCGCAATCACCTGATAAAAGATAAGGTGGGACTACAGACTAGACTGGCTTGCCTTCCTTTACTCAAATCACACACTGGGCTGTGCGAACATCAACGTGTTTTTGGGTTCTCGAAAAAGATGCTCGGCAGTACTGAGAGAAACAAGTTAGCTCGTATCTTGCTTCAGCTGAGCTAGTAATCTTGACAGAGGTACTCGCGTTCGATCAATCTCAAAATATTGTACAGCGAATGAGTTTTATACAGGATTCAATGATTTCTTCCAGCTGATTTCTTCAGCTGTTTCCCTACTCGGCACCCTTCGAAGGGTTGAGCCATCACCCGCTTTTTTACCCCCTCAGTAATATCCCAGCGGGGTTCAACAACAATAAATTGTGCCGTTCTGTCAACTGGTAACTCAAACAAAACCTTCCTATTGATCACGAAGTTCGAGGATGTCAGCGGATTTCGGAGCTAGAGACCGCTGTTCTTTCTCGTAATAATCCGGAAATCATTTAGCTCATTCAGTTCATCAGTCATAAGAAACCTAACATCAGTGAGGCTGATCACAAAGTGGGTTAGTTTGCGATCGCTAATCAACGGAGGCGCTAAGATGGATAGGTTGAACAACTTTATTGCCAGTTCAACTGGCTCTCACCGTCCACTTGTGTACCATGTATACCCAATTGCCTGCTCTAGATCGTACCACTGAATACACCGAGCGAAACGGGTCTGACTTGAGATTTGACACTTGGAGCAATCCAAGGCTGTCGGCTCAGGCAGACTTCCTCCGAGGCCATTCAAGTATGGACGCTTAGTAATCATAAGTCAGCTTGTTATGGTCTCCAGGGTCACAACGTATCGCTATGACTGGCTGTTTGAACTCGACCGGTCCGATTGGCTGATCAAGAGTGCGAGGCTAAGGACACTAGTTTAGTAGCCGAAAATTACAATGCATTTGAACGGCACATAATAACGTTATTTATGTCCACAATGAGCTTCTTAGATGTTCTCTGCTCTCTTCCAATCCCTATTGAATAGTCTTAAATCGTCCGAGAAGATTCTCCTGAATGACCAGTGGAGCTATGCTACTAGGTTTCGGGAAAAATAACGAGTGCTGGTTGATAAAGTAGTGATGCAACCCTTAGGAGGTGCGCTTCCTAAAACAACCGACCCTTTTGTGCTCCAAAACCTGACACGAAGAGAATTTACCTCCTTCTTAAAGCGAGAAAGCTGGTGTTTGGTTCGGTGAGGTACTCAGTTCATCGCACGTAATTTAATAATGTTCCCAAAAACACTTGGCGTAGCTGGTGTTTGAGGAAGTTAAATTGTTCTCCGAGCTGTGTTCCAGTGCACTGACAATAGTAACTAAAGTTTGTCTTCAAAAAATCACTTGTTGTTCGTGCTAGTATGTACCCTTTTTGACAAATGAGACCGGTGTATCTTATCATAAAGATATTTCATATTGATAGCGACAAAAGACTTCAAAAAACCATCAGACAGTGGTGTGCAGTAGCCACTCGGGATGCTCTAACTGACTGATTTTAAATACTCGGAAACGGAGTCCCGTCAGTGCAGTGCAACAGTTCCATGGATTTCACAAATTTCAATCGCCGTCTGCATTGTCCCGTCGAAGACATGCTTCTGCGAGTGGACAGATTTTCTGCGCTTCAACTAAAATAGCTTTGAAGAAAGCGTATGAGTCCGAAAACGTAAAAATGATTGCAAACCAAACGTTTCCGCTGGTCACCGGTTAACTGGCTTCAGGTGAAATTTAATAATACTCAACTGGTACTGGTATGAAACCTCCGCGACTTAGAATCTCAGATGGCGTCGTGAAATGGAAAATTCTGCGTTACTTGCCTCAGCCATTTGAAACCACTTCTAAATAACAAGCCGTGATTTTCTTCCTTGGGAGACATGATGCTTTAGTGCGAGGAAAGCCCGGTTTCGTATGCTACCGATTGGAGTTGTTGTGCGTGATGGAGGCTGAGTAGATTTGTTGATGCTTGTGTTTTACTCGGGATCTGTCGATATTGACATCAGTAGACAATCCGGCAGTAGCCTAAACGTATCCTATGATGAAGTGACTCACGTCCATTACAATCCAAGGTGAAAATCTTCGCGTTCACCACAAGCACTTACCTGGGACCCGAAAATCAAAGTACAACGGATTCAGCGCCTTCATTCTCTCAGCCGTTTCAAGAGTGTGAAACATCGTAGGAAGAGGCAAACAACGACGAAACAGCCGGAAGATTAATGACAGTTTCACTCAGTCGAACAACTCGTATAAACCGGAGATGCTATATAGTATTTCTTCGTTACCTAGACAACGTGCGCCCAGCTCTGTGACAAATCACATGACCCTGCGTGACACCAGATCTGTTGTGAAGAACTGGGCGTATGTTTGAACCGCTCAATCCGTGCTCTCACTGAGTGATAACACTGGCAAGAAATTAGTGGCCTCTAAAGAGGAGTAGTGCTTTGATGCCTTCAACACACAGATGTAGGTTCTTGAAACATGCAGTAACACCGTGCTCTGTGCATGCCTTACACTCAACTGGTGAGCCACCATCTACATAGATAATTCAGGCTATAAAAGCCACAGAATACTTAACGGGACATATACTCCTTGGTTACATGATAATTAGAAGTAATATAGTTATAGCTAGGTGAAATGATCAACCACTTTCAACGGCTGCACAGTGGGAATGCAAAATGGGTATATGTGAGTCAAAATTCGCAGCAGTAACATGCACCGTGAAGGTGCGAGGTACATGCGAAAATGTGCAGTCGTGTGTCGGCCCATGCAACAGCACTAGCACATGGGTTGGATCGGACCCATACGGAGCTAGGTACTCTGTAAGGAACTGAGACCTTCTTAGTCATGACCGTTTCGAGTATAAAGTTGCAGTGATAAAGATAACCCATGCAAACTATGTTGTTGCTAACGCGTACGAGTATTACACATGGATCGTTAAAGTTAGAGTGTCCTGGAAGATGATTTTCCTGAAGAGAGTTAGGGGATGAGATTTAACACTAAGTACCGAAAACTTACGAATCCCTAGTAACAATGACAAAATAGCATCTATGAGTAAAGCAGTTGAACTGGAAAGGAAAACTTAACCCAAATGCGCTCATGCGTGGCTAAAGAAAGACCATGAAACACATACGGAGTTTTTCTCACCTTTCAGCTTGGAAGATTGTTTCGGGGATTCCAACGAGGATTGTGTTGTGTTTGAGGCAGTGGAATCTGAACCGGAGTCCGAACTTGAAGAATCCGAAGATTGGGAGGCGGAAGAAGAGTGTGATCGACGCCGGCGCATAGGTTTGGATGCGGTGGAAGATGTCTTACCTTTGAATTGTTTAGCATCCCGACCCTTTAGAGAAGGTGACAGTTTAGACACAGAGCGCTTTCTTGAGGCGGAGGTTCTACTACTGGGCTTGGATCCAACACTTAAATCGGGCATTGTTTCAGAAATAACAGCAACTGATCTGCAGGAAAGGTATATCCATGAAAATAGAGCGACATGAGAAATAGCACAGTGCCGAAGCTCACACGATTAGGAACGTGTCCATCGGATGATAGCGCATATGCAATAAATTGAAGATAGCTACTCAAGTGAAGAACAATGTCCGAAACAAACGACGGGGATGCACACATACATGCGGAGATACTGTAATTGACAACCGATAGAAGCATGATTACCACCGTGACGGCCGATAATCGAATGTAACGAAGCGTTTGGGATCCGGAAAGAGTTGGACGCCGTGGAAACAACTTACAACCCATCGGAATAACCATTAAGATTTCCAACTCCCCTCACTAGGTGCAACCGCCAGCGTCCGGAGAGATAGCGGAACTGCACACCGTAGCAAGTTAAAACAAGAGTGCGATCGTGCTTCAAACTATACAGAAAGTACATCATTTGGCCATCTGCACGGTTGACAAAGTGGTTGGAAAATCCCTCGAAAGAAGAAAGTAATATCTTCATGAAATTGCATATGGCTAACTCTAAACATTAGTGTCAACAATGAGCTTCCAGTCAACCCTGAAGCTGCATGAACGAACCAAACTGCGACGAATTAAGACATCATAGAAATTAAAAAAACTCAGTGCACATACTAATGCTGAATCGAACAATTTTCCGGAGTAGGCTTAGGACCATAAGCTCCGTCGCGGGTTAGCAGTTGTAAGCAGATAAACTAGGCACACGCGATATAACTGATTTGCAAGTAAATGCACGTACATGTACCCAATGGTAACAAGAATTAGTTTAGCAGGTTCATAATGAAGATGGAGCGAAAACCAGACCGATGAAAGACGGTGCAACACGCCTCGTTCTCACTGACTCCTCTTGCCTCTATGCTCCCGAGGTTACGGTTGTGCATGTGAAAATGAATCGCAGCTGAAAAATAGTCACTAAATTTGAGAAGTCATTACCCATGTCAGGAACATTACAATGAATTATATCAGCCGGAGAATGCTCTTGACAATGATGCGTGGCAGCATTGTAGCGGCTGATGAATCAGACGAGCAGGAAAGATAACGCCGGTGGACAAACGACAAGTTAATAGACTGTGATTTGTTCAAGCTGTTGATGGCGAAGAAAAGCACTGCTACAACAACGATCAGGTTGGGTTCAACAAGAGGACTAACAGTTTGAAGTCGAAAAGCCAATGAAGATCAATAGACACTGGAGGAAGTGGCTAACTATACGGTTTATGCTCCCCGTTTATGGACAAATGCTTCATCGCTACTAAACACAATAAACCAGACTAAGTGAAGTTGCATTTTTATTCGCAATATATAGAGATCTGGTGTGTATGGCTAAGACTACGGAAGAGCCAGTCGAGTCTCGGGTTAGAGATGACAAGTGTAACACTAGAGAAGACAAATTTATGTTACTGTATCCACCAGAAGTACACCCGGAATAATGTGCACTAAACATGTGGATACCGAATCCAACCAACAGAAGTCAGAGTATGAAAGAGTTTGTACTCCCGATAACCGTAAGACAAGCTTTCTAAGTGGAGAGGTGCGAAATACGCCAACAATTACGTCCAAGCGTGAGTGTCTAATATACGATACAAGATGGTATTGTCTATCAGGTGTAATGAATACACATCATCGCGAAAGCCAGAAATAGCCGAATGATGCAAACGCCACATCGCACTCAGGTAATTAGAACCGACGCTCCAGAAATTCGCTGCCAGTCGGCGACCATGGTTCAGATATCTGACCTGTAGTCCACACGTGGCCAGTTCGAGCCAAGGCATAAATACAAACAACCTCGCGGTATACCCAATCTGCACGCAACTGCTGGTGGTCACGCTGCGAAGTAGCGTTGGTACGACGTACCGGCGTATTGCTGATAAACAGACTACTTGAGAGGTGGGCGAATCGCACTACTGATTCTCAGACCCGAACGGGTTCGGAGAACACAAATACTTAGCACACTAAATTAAAACTAAGTGAGGGCCTAAGATCCCGTTGAAATGAAAAATGCATGGTAACCAAAACAGGGATCAGAAGGAAAACCCGGGTACACATGTCAACGACAGGAATCCATGTAATCCTCGCAAAATCAAATCTGGGTTCGATCACCAAGGTCTCGACTGGTAATTATCAACTGAGAAAGGTAAACAGTGCTGCCACCAGTTTACAAGTATGAGATTAACATAAGGTGTTCTCTGAGTGACTAAGTGGAAGCAACGCGCGCAAAAGGTGTGGAACAAGAACAATCAGACACAGGAACTTTGACTGAAAAGGCAAAACAAAGTCCAAGGACTTGTGTAACTGTCAGTTTATCTTCATCTCAAGTCGATAAGGTTGTATATACAAAACAGAAGGACATATGTACAAAAGTTCGAAGAACTGGTAGACGTATGGACAGGGAATGTTTGGAAGTAAAGGAGGCCTAATAGTCATATAGGAGGGAAATAGTAAACAGGGATGTAGATGGGACTGCATTCATAAATCAATGCAGATATAGTTTACATAGTCCAAAGAACAACTGTATCTACAGAATGCCAGAAGAGAGTATGAAAGTAGGCGCGCAACAAGTTAAATTGGGCTGAGTGCGTAAGTGACCAAACAAGGGTAAATAACCTGGAATTTGTCTAAATCAAGAAAAAATAACCTGAGCTGAAAGTTCACAGAGAATTAGCTAAAAGATATCACGGACTGAGTGCAGATAACAGAAGTTTCCAATCTCACTGGAAGCTATGAGCTGCGGCCATCAGTGTGAGAAGAAGTTAATTCATCCATTTACGACAGCTGATGGAGCCACAGAGACAGGGAATTCGGGCACCATGATCTTCTATGTCAAATTTGTAATCGTAAGTCAACTCTTCCCCTTTTACGATATCTCGACTAGCAACAATGATAATGTGGCCGCCACCGTCACAGTACAGTATCTCCGCTGCGCAATTGGGTTCGCAAGAATGATTGATGTACCGAGCCAGACCGCCGCACATCGTGGCATCCACGATATTGTCGTCATCGACCCGAAACATATAAACGCCGCGGTTTTGTGAGTCGTAAAGTAGCTCTCTACAATTTCCGACTTCGTTTCGAATGAGTTCACCGAGATACTCGATTATGTAAGTATGCTTACTTAGATCCCGAGCAGCAAACAAACCGAGACCTTGAATGCGGGAGCGCGCAAGTACAACGTTTAAACTCCATTCTGCACGAAGTCGTTTGTATTGTTGCAATTTACTGAAGCCAGAAGAATTTGAAGTAAGGTAGATAGGACTACCAAGACTAGAGCGAGTGGGGACGCACATATGATAAGAACAAGGGTTGCGTTTTGACAAAATCTTTTGCGAATGTACGGCGTCAGAAGCCAATAGCCTACGCACGTGCGTACGCAGTTTAGGTTCTGAACGTGCGCAACCCGTAGGATTTATGGCTAGGGGCATTTCTTTGATTAGCTGCAAACGTCCGAACTTGAAAGAATAGTTGCTCAGCCTATCCACCCCCGGTAGTGACTCTATCGCACGCACAATGTGTGGCTCCGTTAGTCCATAAAAAAACTCGCCGGACAAATTCTCCTGTATGATACGTAAATACCTTGAGCAGGAGGTTCGCAAACGATTGATTCGAGCAAGTATACTTTTCCAAACGCCGTCACAAGTGGAGTGCTCGAAAGTTTCAGGCGGTTCATCAAATTCCTCAGCAACAACAACAAACTTTATACATGCCGATGTGGTCTTCACCAGCGTTTCCTGAGTGCTATCGCTCTCCTCAATCTTGCAGTGATAAAAACATCGCCGCCGAACGTGGCGGTAAGACCAATAAATACGGGTGCTAGAATAGCCCACCGGGTAGATGAATTTAGTTGAATGGAAAATGCCGCTGGCTAGTTGTTCCGGCAAAAGCTGCCCGATGCTGTGTAAGGTAAGTCCGCCTATACGTAACTTGGTTGGGGGATATTGGTGCTGGGACTTGGATTTCAAATCGCTCGGATGAGTTGTCTTCGAAATGATGTCAGCCACTTGAGCACTCTCATCACGACATATGAAAACCCGGCGGTTAACGGCCAAGGAGTGTAACTGTGGAAATTTGCCTTCATTGCTCTGATGTTTAGGACAATACATTGCACGGTCAACGTGGAAGGTACAACCAATAGCATGAGCACATGGTAAATGATAGATGGATTGGCAATCCGAATGGAAGCAAGGCAGGCCGGCTCCGGAGCATTTACAATGAGAGCACAGCGTGGAGCGCGCCTTGGTTAAAGCCCGTGAGACATTGATTAGGCTACCACCAACGGTTTCATAAGCATCGTAGCACCAAAGGATGCAATTCAAGTGTAGCCACTTGTTGAATGCATACTGTAAAAGCCGTCCAGCAATCTCACTTGGGGCGTCGCCAGAACCGTGACACAATAAACAGGCCCGATCATCCCGGAGCCTATTGGAAAGAACCGAATGAATCATGGAGTGTGTAGAAGTACCCATGAGTAAGTGAATCCACTCATTAGGTGAACTATCAGCGACAAACCGAGGATTAGTGAAAGGTTGTGGTTTCTTTAAGGAGTCTTGTTTGGAGTATTTATACCATCGAACACGATTCCATCGCCAGAGGGGTTGAGAAAAGGGCTTAGAGATTTGGGCTTTATTCAAGTTTTCCATTGTCCGGTTCCAATGACCATTTTTCACCAAAGTGCACAAGCGATCCTCAGTAATTTTGTCCGGTTTTCCATACTTTCTTCTTAGCAAAAGTACCGAGGATGGTGCGGCGGTTGTAGAGTTGTAAGGGCACACCGATCTGAGTTCCACAGCGTGACAGGATAATGATGAACGAATACAATCACGTTCTGCAATGCAGCCAGCTGTTTGGTAAGTGATTAAGCAGAAAAAACTGCAAAATACGATTGCCGCTCCGCCACAAGGCGGTCTATATGTGATGCCAGCACTGGATTCGATTATCTGCATGGCACAATAAGCACAAACAATCGGTGTACCGCAACGAGAAAGTTCCGTATTCGGCTCTGGAAGTTGGGGAACTGTATGGGTACGTTCTACTGAACATAAGTTCACAGTATTTGTATATAGTGGTGGTGTTACATGGCCAGCACAGCAATCATGGAAGGACAGAAGATGGGTGTCGAGTGGATGAGTGTTTGTCACTGGGGAGCAGTCAACGCGTGACCTACTGGTACGACACATTGCCTGCCTTAGGCAGCTTAAAAGAAAGTTACTGCGAGTCGCCTCGTGAAAGCTGAGTACATCGTTTGAGTTTTTTGCCAAAAGATCACACAGAACAGAATCGGAAGGGAGTGCTGTTGGACTGTTGGGAAAGAAAGGGAAGATGTCATATTTTCTTGGTGTAGAAAACAAATGAGAGTCAGGTGATAAGATGAACCCGCGCCGGTCGCCAAGTTCCAGTCCCCGCTGCTTGCGCAAAAAAGTGGGCGCAGGCGTGGGCGGGTAGAGATACGCAGGGACGGAAACAACAGGATCGTGGAGAAAATGGGTTGGGTTTGGTGCAAACAAACAGTTTCGGGTAGGGGTGACAAAAGCCAAAAGCGGAGCAGTCGAAGTCAAACCGAGTCTTACGCCGGTCATCCGGCGTCGCTTTGGCATACGGTGGTAGCATCCGCGCCCCGAACGCCGCTTCAATGGTATTACGTGGTCAGCAATAGAGTCGAGTTTCCCCACATCCTTCTGAACGTGAGCTCGCTGACGTATATCATTTGGCTTGCGAAGACAATTAGCTGAAGAGCCTAGGTTGTCCGAAAAAGTGGAAGAACAGGAATCGGGGAGACCAGCGCTTGTTCGGGACACATTCGCACTAGTCGTGCATATGCCAGAAAGCTCCTGTGTAAGGATCGGTGGGCGCGTTAGGCGAATCGACGTGTTCATCGGAAATGTCTCAATAACAGAAGTGGAGCGAAGAAACTGGGAGGGTGAACAGCTAGGCCAATAATTAGCAGGAGTTGCGTCGGAACATAGCAAATTATCAGGAACACCGAAATAATTACGTAAGTGGCGCTGACAGGCGGAGAGAGGTCCCTCAGAATTGTTAGATGCGAAGTTCATGGATTCATCTTCTGAATGTATGGGATGAAACTTGTGTTGATTCGACGGCGAAGGAGCTTTATCTCTAATATACGGCTGATCATCACAAGCAAAGCTTCCTGGGACGCTGCAACTTAACGGAGGATTTATCGTATTCTGATGCGATGATGTAAGTGACGAAGTGAAAAAGTAGGAGGAAACGGACGGATGGGAAACAGTGGTAGATTTAAGTGGATGAGTGGGATGGGATTTACAGGAAGCGCAGGATTCTTGCTGAGTACAAAATGTTCTTGGGGAATCGTCTGAGTTTCCACAAGCCTCGGATTGTACGTAGTGGCCGTTGAGTAAAAATGAGGGAATAGGTTTGGAACAATGTGATGAAACAAATGCAGGACTATTTGACGGGGACTGTGATGAGTGGATAGAAGAGCTAAGTGAGGCATAATGTGATTGAGGGGTTATCGCCCACAATGAGGGAGAAGTTGTAGAGGATGCAAGGACTTTGCTAGAATCTTTCGAAGGAATAATGCTTCGTAAGGTAGTGACCAGAGGACAAATTGCATGATCTAAAGAAGGAGTTATCAAGCCATCAGAGGCAATTGCAAAATGGGGAATCGGTGAGGAAGAGGATCTTCTCGTGCAAGACTCTGTGTCGACAGAATCTAATCGAGGAACGACGATGGAAAAGTCGTTTCTTTTTTTACATTTGTCACCAGGTTCTGATAGCTCACTTGCGAAACAACAGTCTTCAGCAAAGAAATTGGTTGTACTCATAAAGTGATTTGCACAGCCATATTGAGATTCAGACGATGACAAAGGGGAACCGCGAATGGGACACATGGAGGGAATGGGAGTAAAGGAAGGATTGTTCAAAGTGGCTATGCCGCAAGCTTGCGAAGTGGAAGTTTCCAACACAGTGCTCATTTGCCTGCCCAAACGAACATTTGTTGACGGGACGCAGAAATTAGGCGCGACCATCTACACATCATGGATAACAGCACCTGCAAAATGAATAGATTCTATGATCAGAGAGAATCGACGAGACCGTTTCGATGCAGCGCAAAGTCCAGTTAGGCGTGAACAGCAAATGAAAAGTAAAGCAAATGGTTAAGAAAGTGAGACAAAGAAAAACCAGTAGGCACGTTTCAGCTGCAAGCGGAATATAACTACGATCGCGATATCGGACGCTTCGGAACTTGGTGCAGTGGTTTAAAAATTGCAATGGAAAAACAATGAAACTAAAAACTCGGCAGACGAGTTAAAAAAAGCATTTTCACTGAATAAAAAGCCAAAGAGCCAGAAGCAAAAGAACCGATGACATAGCGTCACCAGCTGCGATAATGAGCAATAACATCAAGGACAGATGGCAAACAATGTGCCTCAACCTGAGTATCTGCCTTTCACGTACCAACCCGAATAAGAATCAAAACCAATTGTACAATACCTCGCGGTCACTAGTTAGTAAGCTAAAGGTTAAAATCAGGCGTACTGCAGGAAAACACTGCGTGTCAAGGTACGCAGACGACCAGCATAATGAGGAAAATGCTGAAAACTGTAGGCGGAAGCATTGTTGCAAAAAGAGTTGTCTTCCAAACCCCATAGAGACGGTATGAAGGAGCTATCCTCAAAGATTGGCGCAGTCGGGCGCTCTCGAGTTCCAAGCTTGTGGCGCAAAGATAACGAACATGAACGGCTTAAAACCCTCTCGGATATGGCGAGAAGCCATGCACAACGGCTCACATGCTGCAACACTCTATTCCCATAAACACTGATATATTCTTTTCCCCCTCGTATATTTACTACATTTTCCATATGTTGCAGCACAATACTAATTGTACTATTAGCTATTAGTTAGGTATTTCACTGTGAAAGCCACAGTGACAGGCAAATCCGGACACGAATGACCCCCATATATATATATATATATATATATATATATATATATATATATATATATATATATATATATATACACGCGGGAGAGCCTATGGTGCGCTGAGGCTGGTGGTGGCTAGATCCTGACAGATGGTCTACCCGCTGCTGCTACTGTTGCGCCATCGTCTCATGTCCTGGGCGCCTCCACGTGGCGACCGCTGGGTGGGATTTGGGTTTCGCCCTTCTCCCTGCTAAGATCCAGGACACCAATCCGCATGAGTCGGCTAACTGACCATGTGCTAGACCCGTTGCCTTTCGGCTGTTCATTTAATCGAAGGCTTTGGCTGAGGACCCGAGTCATTCTCCTGTCAGGTGTGGGCGCCCTGGCAGTATGCTAGTCCATCCTCTTCGGAGGTTAGGAAGTGGTCGATGGCCCTCTTCCCGTAAAACCTAGCCATGGGAGACAATAGGTTTACGGGTTATAAGCTCACAGCTCGATTGGCGTAGAGCACGAGTGCCACGCATTGTCTATGACAGTAGGAGGACACGTCCGGGTGTTCAATGGTTTGCTACTGCCCGCCTCAAGCCAGGCAGCCTCTGGTCAAATTGGTGCAAACCCGCCAAAAACCCACCTGCGTCTGGCCGTGGTCGCAGGTGCGTATCCTACTACGGTCGCAAAACGTATGATAATTGTTCCAGAATCTCAAAGGCTGCGTGTGACGGCCGTCAAGCAGATCCCTATCTGTCTCTGCAATAACATTCCCGAGCTGCATCTGCTCCCCACTGCCTTCTGGGTCAGGCTATTGAGCCATAAGCTCCGGCGGAGTCCCTCAAGCAACCCTCCAAAACACCCACTGCCTTGTGGGTCAGGCTATTGAGCCAAAAGCTCCGGGTGGAGTCCCACAAGCAAACCTCCGAAGCACAACGACCACCTCGCGTGCGATTGCCCACCAATGCAATCGTATGCCTGCGCGCAAAGCACTCGGCATCGGGTGCTGGAACGCGCGCACACTACTGGACCGGAACTCGAGTGAACGCCCTGAGCGACGCACTGCACTGGTCGCGATGGAGCTGGCGCGCTACAACATCGATATTGCGGCGCTCAGTGAAACTCGGCTCGCTGAGCAAGGTAAGTTGCATGAAGCAGGTGCTGGCTACACATGCTACTGGGTGGGAAACGCCGCCTCAGCACCACGTGAACATGGGGTCGGATTTGCAATATCCGATCGCCTCCATGGCCAGCTGGTGGGTGAACCAACGGGCATCAGCGCGCGACTGATGACCGTTCGTCTACGACTTGGAAGAGGTAAGTTTGCTACTTTTATAAGCACGTACGGTCCGACCATGTGTTATCCTGATGACACGCGTGATCAGTTCTACACTCAGCTATCCTCCGTATTACGGTCTGTGCCGAGGAGCGACCGACTATTTCTGCTGGGTGATTTCAACGCGAGCGTTGGGTGTGATGCATCAGCGTGGACAGATGTTATCGGTGCGCATGGCATTGGCTCAGCGAATGCGAACGGTGACAGGCTGCTCTCACTGTGTGCCACTCACGGCCTGACGATCACGAACACTCTGTTTGCACTGAGTGCGAGTGATATAGCAACTTGGACGCACCCACGGAGTGGTCACGCTCACCTGCTCGACTATGTCATCGTACGTCAGCGTGATCTGCGTGAAGTGCGCATGACACGTGTATTGCGTGGAGCTGAGTGTGGCACTGATCACAAGTTGGTGCGGACCAAACTGTACATATATTTTCGTAAATCTATGTATTGCACTCCCGCCGTGAATCGGCGTAAATTTAACATTCTCTCCCTCGGTACTGTGGCGAAACGTATCAAGCTGGAGAAGGCGATGGCTGCACGCCTGTGTGATGTGGAATGCATAGCCACAGTGGGCGACCTGTGGCACAACATTCGCGACCAGGTGACAGCTGCTGCCGAGGAGACCATCGGGCGCGCAAACTGTAAGCGGCCTGATTGATTTGATGATAACAATGCGATGATCGGCGCATTGGTGTCGGAGAAGAATGCAGCATTTGCTGCACATGTGGCAGACCTCAGTGACTTGGGAAAGAGCAGTCAGTTTCGCAAACTTCGACGGCGACTGACCCGAGAGCTCCGTCGCATGAAAAATGCATGGTGGACGGAGAAGGCGAAGCAGATGGAATGCTACGCCGAACGCCGTCAACACAAGCAATTCTTTGACTCCTTGAAGGCGGTGTATGGACTGAGATTGGAGCCGCTGAGGACACTGATCGATGGTAGTTCAGGCGCTACCTGCACACAGACTGCAGACATAATGCAGATCTGGCGGAAACACTTTGACTGTTTCTTGAACAACCGTTCAGAGATCGACTGGCCTACATTGGACGGCCTCAAGCAGCACGATGTGAAGGCGAATCTGGCGGATACGCCGACACTGGATGAGACGCAGAGAGCACTTGCTCAGCTGTGAAACGGCAAATGTGCCGGAGCCGACGGGATCCCGCCTGAAGTGTTGAAACACGGCGGACCCGCGTTGTTGACTGCGCTGCACCACTTGGTGCAACGCGTGTGGATTGAGGAGGAGGTGCCTGCTGAGCTGAAGGATGCCCTTGTGCTACCACTGTACAAGGGCAAAGGTAACAAGCAATGTTGCACGAATTTTCGTAGCATCAACTTGCTGAGTTGCGTGGGCAAGGTGATTGCCCGAATCCTGCTCAACCGCCTCGTCAGTCAGGTTGTGGAACCTAACGTGGCAGAGGAGCATTGTGGATTCCGTTCGGGTCGCAGCACTATAGATATGGTGTTTGCGGCTCGTCAGTTGCAAGAGAAGTGCAGAGAACGACACCAGCCGTTGTACTCCCTTTTTGTTGATTTCACCAAGGCATTTGATACGGTGAACCGCCAGGCATTGTGGCTGGTGTTGAG